TCTTCCTGATGGAGACCAATGGGTGCCCCTTCCTGATGGAGACCAGTGGGTGCCCCTTCACACTGGAGACCAATGGGTACCTCTTCTCAATGGAGATCAGTGTGTGCCCCTTTGAAGATTTGGTGACAGTGCCGTGAGATGAACTGGATTTCAGCCCCACTCGCCTGTATGGCTGGCACCTTTGTGTGAGGCACAACCCAGCTTGGTCTACACAGCAGGCTTGGTTGTGTTGCATGGAAGGGTGGGTGCATGGGAGGAGGGTGACATCTAGCAATGTATACTTGTATTAAATACAAGGTTGGGACGCCTGGGTGGTGCCCTCGGTTAAGTGTCTGACTCTTGGTTTTGGTTCAGGTCATGATCAGGGTCGTGAGATAGGGCCCTGCATCAGGCTCTGTGCTCAGTGTGGGATCCCAGCTCTGCAGGAGAGAGAGAGAGAAAAGTTTCAGGTTCCTTGCTCTGCAGGTGTCGAAAATATCACTAGGCACCAAATGACTTGGTTAATCTTATGACCGGTATGGGTGTCTGTTTTACACAAAATTTCACCTTATATGTTTGTAGATATGAAAAACAGCCATTTTACTATGTTGTTTTAGAAAAGAAGTAATAGTTTCTCATGTGAAATAAGCTAAATTAGTTTGAAAATTTAAGAAGTCAATATTTTAATTCAAGCAAAGATGTTTTGAGGCATGTCCTCCAGAGACCTGGGAACATGCTGAGTCCATGAGAAGAGAATTTGTTAGCGCTCAGGGTCCTCAGTCTAGGAAAGTTCTTTCAACACAGTGGGGGCTCTCAACCCTGGATCCCCATGGGTGTCTACTGGGGAGTATTTTAAAATGCTGATGCCCGGGCCCCACTCGAGACCAAAAGAACCAGAATCTCTGAGGGTGGGGCTGAGAATCTGTATTTTAAAAAGAGCACCCTGGGGTGTGTGCTAAAAGCCACTGTGTAGAACTTTCTGATTGCTGCAAAGCCAGAGTCAACTGGGTGCAAGAGTTGGGGTTGAACTGGTGCAGGGTACTGGGTGGGCATTGCCTGTGAGGAGTGGGGGCCCCTCCGTGGCCAAGCTTAGTGGGGAACCCCCATTCTCTTTGCCCCTTGATCAGCATTATCCAGGCTGCTGACGACCACATGAAAGATTGGATGATTGCCCTGCAGGGAGCTTATAAAGTTGACAAACACTTACTGGGTCAATCCCTTCCCCACAGCATCTCAAAAGCAGACAAGCTCTCATTAGCTCCTCTTCAATATGAGTCATTATCCAGCTGCCCCTAAATTAGCCTGTGCATATCCACATGCATTTCAGGGAAGCAGTGACTGACAGCTTGTCCCAAAATGGAAATGCAGATGGCAGAAGCTTAATTGAAATGGAATAATCAGTATTTTTAAGACCGCACATTTTGAGGCACAGCTTGCACTGGAAATGAAGCCGATGTGGCCTTGAATCGGAGTGAGTTGAGGTGTAAATTCGTGACTCAGCAGTACCGAGGGAGAGGCGTCGTGTCCTCTGGACTTGTCTCTGCCGGTGTCCCCGACTCCAATTTTACCCCCTTAGTGGGCTGTACACGCCTCCAGAGCTGGACTACATCTTACCCATCTCTGTAATCTCCATGGCCTCCAGCGTGATGTCAAACTCCTAATAGGAATTCAGTCAGCAATGTCTGGGACGAAGAAGATGGGACCAGCCTCTGTGGGCTAACGGGAGGTACATCTCACTGGATGCCGAAAGTCTCCTGCTGCCCCAGGATGACCAGGGAGAGGGCAAATGCCAGTTGGCATTTTCAACATGGTGGTGATCCATCCTGCCCTAAGTTCAGTCACTGGAAAGTAGGACCAAGGGAGTGGAGGGAAGCCACGTCTTCAGGTTTGATGGGAGTGAGCGTGTTGCAGTGGCTGAGTCCTGGGTCTAACACCTCTGTGCAATGCCCTTGTGAAGGAGGAGAGCAGGCAGGTGAAGGCTCCATAAGTTCACTCATTCATTTGTTCAGCAGGGCCGTTGGGAAGGCCAGTATGTACTGGGCACTGAGCTGTAACCATAGCCTGCCCTTGTCAAGGTCGCTGTGTAATGTGGGCACAGACTCTGACACAAAAATTCCAACTCCATTCGAGGGATAGAGGTGACACACGAGGGGCATAGGGACTCTGACGAGAAGCACAGACCGAGCCTGGGAAAGCGGTGGCCCACAGAGGGCAGACATTACTAATCCGGAGGAATTAGGGCGAGGATGGGAGAGATCTTTCTTCCCTCCAGCATTGTGACCACTTAACATTCTGGCTAAATGGTGTGTTGATTTTAGAAGGCCAGTGGGAGGAAGGCCTGGCGAGGAGTGAGGTGTATGTCTCCAGAGCGTCTAAGTAGAGCTGATATCATAGAACTGTCAAACAAGAGTATTGGATTCCTAGTTTATGATGAAGTAGAATAAAATGTCTACTTTCTACTAAACAACTTGGAAATACAGCTAAATCTCTAGTCCTGGGCTTGTCTTGGTTCCCGGCAATCAAGAATAGTGTAAGCTGGTTGAGGATGGTGAGCGGGTCTCTCGTGACCAATTCAGTCGTGTTTGCTACCTAACCCATGCCTTGTTTACAGTAGGTTCCCAATAAATTCCTGCTGAGCCACAGCTGACTTGTCCAAGCACACGCGGGCCCTGCACTGGGAGAGTTGCTGTCTCCTTGTTAAATGTCTTTGTGTTTTCATGGTCAATATTTCTTTATTTGTAGCTTTTAATTGCAATTCACTGGAGTACTAATACAAAGGAAGATGGTTTAAATTTTTGGATGTGCTCTAACGCACCCATATGGGAGATGGTGTGCCTAGGAACAAATGCTTACATTTATTCCTGAGATGTTATTTCTACCAGATTTCTGCTGCAGGACCAGTGTCTCGTAATCTTTTGGAAGTAGGGATGCAGATCAGATTTTCCACCAGCATTATATACACCATGAAAATTAACTAGAAAGAAGACAGGCGATCTGACCCAAAGGGCACAGCTATGTACCCTGGCAACATTTTCAGGGAGGCTTTGGGTTAATTCCTGTCAACTCAAGTGGGCAATTATTCCAATGGGCAATGGCTTATCTTTGCCTTTACACTCTGTTGGACAAAGATGGGGGCTTTCTAGAATATCTGCTTTGAATGAATCACATTCCTGTTGGGCATCTCAAGGCAGGCTGTCCGCTGTGACAACAGGTCAAGTCTGAGCACTGTCCCTATGAGAACAACGTTGTCCCCTGCTGGCTACGGGGCCATGCACACATCTTCCCCATTTGAGCAGTCTGAGTCAGTAAATGAGCCCGTTTGAGACTTTTGCTCATGTGCACTCCTAATTCTCCATGGGGTCTTGTCTGCATATGAGACCCTGTCATTTTGAAGACAACCACATAAGATAACTTAAAATGTATGTTTTGCCCAGATCCTCCACAACAAAAAGTGGACGAAGGGGAGAGAAGGCTGCTGTCTGTGGGTTTGGAGGACACCGCACTCCCATGGGAGGGATTCTGCATTCCCTGGAGCCCTTGACAAGTGGTCTCATGGTGGTGGAAAAACCACTGTGATTTGTGTCTCCTTCACAAACATTTTCCAAGAGGTAATGTCTAGTGGCAAAGATGCGAGCCTCTGTGCCAGGACACACTCTGAAGGTAATGAGCGGCAAGGGCCGTGGAGGTGGAATATCACGTCATGACAGAGGCAGTGACCTGTGTGGAGGGCAGCTGGGGGCACAGTCTTTCCCCTTTGACAATGGCCGTGTCCTTCTTTCCGATGAGAAAAGTAACCGTAAGAAAACTCCTGAGTGACAAAAATCTCTTTAATAAATCCACTGAAGAATAAAAGATGTGGACCATCATCTTCCAGTTGGTCTGCGACCCAGAAATAAAGTTAATTACTTCTGCACGTTGGCAGGACTGTATGTCTGTAAAGAATGGTTCAATCAGGATGCCGAAGTAAGGAGGTGTGATAAAGACCACTATTTTTATACTACTATATAAAAATCCCATGACAGGTAGTCAATTAAATGTTAATTGAAAGAATGAATTATAATATTGGGCCGTGAACAATTATTTTAGATATAAAAATAATCTCCTTTAAACCTGGTCCATGAGATCAGCCCTGTCAAGGTGCTCCTACCAACTGGTGACGCTCTACTCCAGTATTAGTTTAATTCTTTAACAGGCAGACACTGTAGGCTTCTATCTCCTTTTTTCCTGGCTAACAAACCTCAATTTTAAAAAAAGATTTTATTTATTTATTTGAGAGAGAGAGAGCACAAGCAGGAGGAGCGGCAGAGGGAGAAGCAGGCTCCCCGTTGAGCAGGGACCCCGAGGCGGGGCTCGATCCCAGGACCCTGGGATCATGACCTGAGCCAAAGGCAGATGCTTAACTGACTCAGCCATCTAGACGGCCCTAACAAACCTCAGTTTTATTTTAGTGCAATTTTCCCTAGCCCCGGGATTAAGTATTTTCTGGTCCAAGCCAACCACGTCTGTCCTATCCATGTGTCCCAGTGACTATCTCTATAAGGTTGGATGTGACTGACTTCTGGCCAATGAGATGTACAGGGAGTCGGCGGGAGCATTTCTGGGAAATTATTCTCTCCCTGATAATAAATAAAAGAGAGCTTTGTGAAGATGCATTTTGCTTCCCTCCCTTCGCGCCGTGGACGCTGTGTGTGAGAACATGACGTTGGCTGTTGGTGCGGTGGAAGGCATTTTGTAACGGTGGGCAGGACACACGCTGACCCTCTGGGCATAGTAGGCGGGAGATGCAGGCGGAGCCCGGGCTCTGTGATTCTGGGAGTCCTGACGGCTCATGTGGGTGTGTGTGTGTGTGTGTGTGTGTGTTCGACGTCAGTGTTAGCTGCTTCCCTGGGAGCTTACAGGTCACAGATTTGCAAGGCCGCCCTGTGTTAGGCTCACTATCTCGAATGAGCCCAGGACGTGGAGACCCCATTAACCACATTTTACAAATCTTTGCACGTTAGGGGAGTGTCTTAGTTCCAGTTTTGAAAACAAAATGCCACAGACCGGGCCCGTAAACAAGGCACATGTATGCCTCACGACTCTGCAGGCCAGACGTCTTTGATCGAGGTGCCGGGAGTTTCGGTTCTCGGCGAGGCCCTGTCCCCACCTGCTGGGGGCCACCTTCTCGCTGTGCACACGTGACCTCTTCTTTTGTGCGGGGAGGTGAGAATTCTGGTGTCTCTTCCTCTTCTTATAAAAACACGAATCTCATTGTGCGGCTCTGCTTCCAAATGTCATCCACATCGAAGGTTAGAGCTTCACCGATGGATTTTGGGGGCACGCAAACGTTCAGCCAATAACAAGGAGGTGGAAGGAAAGTGTGGCCAGATCCATATACATCCATCCCAATTTCCGGAAAAATAACTCTGTGAGCACTCTGTGTGGTGTCTCAGGCTGCGTTCTCGAGAAGCAGCAGAGCCCAAGGTGGGGATTTTTGGGCAGGTGATCTGTTGAGGGCTTGTGCTCAGAAGAAAAGAGAGGGAAGCAGGATGGGCCAGGAGAGCCAGGGGGTCTCAGCTGAGGACTGGCTCCGGCCTGACACCACAGAGGAGCCCAGGAGTGAAAACTGCTCCACAGCCCTCATCCCTTGTTGAAACGGGCCAGCTTTGGAACTGTGGGTCAGCCATGGTCTGTGGCTGCAGGGGCTGGGGAGGGCCTGACACAGGGGTGACGTGGGCCCCTTTCGACTGGCCGTAGTTCTTTGGAGAAGGTCGTACCCTTTGCTGTGCCCCTCGCCCCTCGTTAGCCGCCTTCCCCGCAGCTGTGGGATGTGCACCCTGTCACCCTCTTTCCTACTGTTGCTCGGGAGCCCAGGGCAGAAACAGCAGTGCCCACCGTCAGCCCCATCCTACGGAGGACGTCACCCCTGACTGGTGGGGGGCTCGTGGGTGCATTTCTGCGACACCTAGAAACTGTCACCAACAGCTCCAACAAAAACTTGTCAATATTTGGTGTGTGTGCAACGTAAAGAGCTTTCTCAAGTCAGCACACAAAGTGCAGAGATGGGGCCACGCTGAGGAATAAGAATCTGCCAAGGAGTAAATTCATCAATGAACCTGTGAAAACATTTTCCACCTCACCAGTAATCCCATGCATGAAAATTAAAAGAACAATCCAACACCAGCCTTTATGTTTCAAATTGGCAAAGATTAAAGACAAGTGTATTTTATTTTTTTTAAAGATTTTGTTTATTTATTTGACAGAAGAGAGCAAAAGAGCATGAGCAGGGGGAGCAGCAGAGGGAGAAGAAGAAGCAGACTCTCCGCTGAGCAGGGAGTCCGATGTGGGGCTCGATCCCAGGACCCTGAGATCATGACCTGAGCCGAAGGCAGAGGCTTAACCATCTGAGCCACCCAGGCGCACCTAAAGACAAGTTTAAACGTACTAAATTTGCAGGTTGCTTAAAAGGCTTCGAGAAGATTTCCCAACATCACCCTTCCATGCCCGGTGTCCCTGTTCTGGATCTCCTGACGTCACCCTTCCATGCTGGGTGTCTGTTTCATGGAGGGCTTACTTCTTGCTTCATCTCCATCATTCTGTTCCTTTCATGGCTGCCCTCTTCTGAGCTTTGCCAAGTTGTGTTCAGAAACCAAACTGTCAGGGAGTAAACTCTGCCCA